GTTAATGTATATATATATATATATATACAACAAAATATACGAATACAAAAAAAACCCGAAGAAAATTAAGACAATAAGTACGCTCAATTTGCGCTTTTGTTTTCATATTTTACAATCTGGCAATCTTGTTACGAAAATATTTTTTTAATTATTCTTGAAAAATTTCCCGTTCATGTAAGTTTATTTGAATTCGGTACTCGCTTTATAGATGAAAGTTATGTTTTATTCTGTTTTTTATTTTATTTTATTTTCTGTTTTTACATGTTATTCTTACTTATTGTGTTCTATTTCATTTGTTGTAATTTTTGTAAAAAATTTTTTGAGTGCTCCTCACACTATTGTATTAATATATTTTGCTTTGGTTATATTGATACAATATCAGAAAGCACTCTTTTTTACGGATATAATTGTGTGGGCTGATGAAAAGATTATATCTTTTATTTTCCGGATTTTTTATAAAAATTTCATCCTTTTTTTCCCCAGTTGTTTGCTATATTATATTTATTTATTTTTCTCCCCCCCCCTTTTCTTTTCATATATCTGTAATTTTCCTTTGTTTTATCTTCATTATATATATATATATATATATTAATAAGAAAAATATTTATATAGGAACATATATATTAATTTAAAAAAAATCTGAAAAATTGAGACCTCTTGTTATTGGTAAATTCCAAAAATTCACGTTGCTTTAAAAACGTAAAATCTTTACCAGTGGATTACGACGCTAACAAAAAAGCGTGGATGACCGTCACCATTTGGGAGGAAACAATACGGCGTTTAGACAGGCAGTTTGTGAAGAAGAAGCAAAAAGTTGTTTTCATAGCAGACAATTGCACAGCTCATACCAACATCCCACAGTTAGCCTCGATTGAGCTTCTTTTCTTGCCTCCCAATGTGACCAGCGTTCTCCAGCCATTGGATCAAGGAGTTATTCAAAACCTAAAAGTGAACTGTCGTAAGCTCCTCCTGAAGGACTTAATCCCTGCCATCGACCAAAAAAAGAAGTTTCACGCACGTTACTGTCTTGGATGCCATTTTCTATGTGCACAAAAGTTGGAACATGGTGTCCACCACATGCATAGCGAATTGTTTTCGTCATGCTGGTTTTGTGAGCTCTCTGAATATCGTGGATGAAGAAGAAAACGATGTTCCTCTATCTGTTTTGATAGAATATTTGAAAAATCGTGGCCATGCCATTGAAGGGGAGGCTGAATATGGTTTGGTTGATGAGGAAATTACCACCACTTCTGAAGCTACAATTTCTGAAATTGTTTCACAAATTGTGAACAGTGAGGATCATATGGGTAATCTATATTATATAAAACGCTATTACGTACGTATGTATCAATCAAACCGATTATATTTCTTTTCTCGCGTTGGCAACAGTTTTCATTTTTAATTGATAGGATTCGGCGCGCAAGAGCACGTAGTGAGCATCATATGGCTAATCGGGTGAATTCTCGCTGAATTATCAAAAAAATTCTCACAAAATTATCTTCATCGAAGCCGATGCTTTACATCCAGTGTTCAGTACTATTTTATATTGTTTTACAACACATGGTTTTAGCCCTCTGGAGGGAAAGACTTTAAAAGAAAACTTGCAACAGTTACTTTTCTCAACAACTGAAATTTGGAATAGTGTGATTAAGAAAAATATGTGAACTGTTTGCAATTTCAAATTAATATTGAAATGTACAGGTTTAGAATTTTCTACTGTGAAAAGTTTTCGGAGCTTCAGTGTTCAAAAAAGTATACAAAAGCTAGACGTTAAGAACGTATTCAATGAACGAGCAAAGCGAGCATCGGATTGCGAAGCAATCCGAAATGAACTGCGAAAGCAGTTCGGGGGGTTGGCGAGCACCAGCGAGAAGGGGGCGAAGCCTCCTAGTATTATATAAAACGCTAATACGTACGTATGTATGTATCAATAAAACCGATATTTCTTTTCTCGCGCTGGCACCAGTTTTCATTTTTAATTGATTGGAAAGCAGTTCCGGGGGTTGGCGAGCGTCGGCGAGCAGGGGGCGAAGCCACCTAGTTGAAATATAAAACACTGTTACATGCAAAACAAATTTTTCCTAAAGTAGTGCCTGAAATGCATACCATTCTTTCAGAATAAAAGAACATTTATTGTACAATACATATAAATTCAATACAAAATATTGAAAACATAACTGTGCATCTTTTTCACGATGTGAGTAAGCTTTGGCGATTTTTATTCTAATTTTAGCGCCAGAACTCATTTTCTCCTCCAGAAACGTTTGTATTCTTTAAAAAAAACCTTTCTTGTCACAGTTAAAGATTTACTGCATGAGACGCACTTTGCGA